CAAAAATGAGAAAGTGAAAATGAAAGAAGTACAAACTACTACGGAAAAATCTAGGATATTAAAATTAATCATTTACAGAAATAGTTAATATAATCATTAATGAATTTAAAAAAGTCATCAACGACAAAATTGTGTTTTAACAGTTAATAATTAATGCTGATTTAAGATGAATGCATAATTACGGTTCAAGTCAACAGTATCGAATGCGAAAATTAAACAATTTTCAATGAAAATGATGGAAAATCGAAATATCGCATTTGAAAACTTTGAAGAACCGATCGATCTTTCGTAAGTGCGACTCACAATAGATGAGTGATCAATGAGTAAATCCGCACACTCCTGTACGTTTCCTATCAAGTGGAGTAATTTGCCTCCGCTTGCATCAATCGCGCAACACTTTGAGCAAATTTGAAAATGAACGAAGCACTCCGACTTTGCATTCGTCCAGAAGTGTCAGTGCAAAGTGTTGTATACAAAAACATAAATGACTATGAGTCACATTTCCATGACCGAGCTTTCTTGCAACGCGCACGACAATGGCATAATGATTTGTCAGGAACGAATAGAGGTCGTAGTAAGAGTAAGAACCACATGTCACCATGGATACCGCGCAAGCGCCCGTTCTTTATACGCTTGTGCATGTACTTTACATACAGTAGCATTAAGGGACAATTGCGCGCGGATGTATATGTATGGTGTGTCATGTGCGTGTGACATGTGAGGGTGTAACATGTGGAGGTTCAATGTCAAGTTCTTATTGGACACGACTGTTCTCGACCAGGAGTTCGTCGATAAGTATATAGTCAAATGAGAATATGACAATGTGATACGCGAATAACATATTGAAGTAACGACATCATTTGCCTTTGCATTTCATCGAAATATAATACATACAATAAATATAAGGACATATGATGCAACTTACTAATGTGAATCAAACGGAATGAAAATTAAGTGATAAAAAGAAGAAAGTTATTTATCGACTTTTCTATATTGTATAAACTTCTATCCGTTTTCCTCGTTTTAATATTTTCTATCAAATAATTTAGATCAAATTAATATTAAGTATTTAATACAATTATATTAAAGTGCCATCCTATAAGCAACTGTAAAAATTTGCTTAATTGAATATGAATCAATTGCGCCTTTGCCAAGTCACGTAAGAGTTTGAAAAATATAATCAGCTTTTCCTAGTAAAATTGTCAATATGCATTTATATTTTCGTGGGATCTTTTAGGGTAGCGACAGCTGTGTGCAGTAATACTCTTTAACGTAGGAATACAGGAATGAGGACGTGTCAGGCTTTTAACGCACGAGGTTGATATGAAATTTATGTTCCTCGTTTCAAATCGATCGAGAAATTAAATAAGTAAGAACCATAACAAGAAGATATATTTACGATGAAATGGGTTTACAACTGTATAATGCTTTCATCCTTGCATGATATAAATTTAAATGCAAGTTACAATACTTAAACTTCTTAATTCAAGGTTTTGAACTTTCTACTGTAAAATACTATACGATATTTTTATAAAAATTTATTTTATTATAAAATTTTTACTTCTTTTTAATTTTTTTCAGGTGTTTTAACACTTTACTAATATTATCACCAATCTTTATGTTACTTTATATTTTAAATATACATATTTTGTTATATTGTATAAATCTTCAATTACATTTCTTTTATATAATATAATTTCGACTTTAACTACATATATAATTAAAAGGATAAGTTGTATAAATTCGTTTTTTATAAAAACTGAATTATTTTAAAAGAACCCCGCACATTTCTTAAAGTGGCTTCAAGTTGGCTAAAAAAATTGAAATACGTTTCAGTTTAGATGATGCTAATAAAAAGTTTACTCGAACAAAAATCAAAAGTATTAAAATACGAAAATCAAAAGTATCAAAGATATGAAAAGATTTAAAATGAGTGCTATGGAGTTTAAGAAAGCTTATTTTTTTAATATGTATATTAAATTAATATAGATTAATTTAATACAAAAATGTTTCGAAATATATATATATATATACATATAAATATATATA